CCCACCCTTCACACACCATCACTGCCCCCGGAGTGAATGATAGTGAAGAATGAGGAGCACACAGTGACGGTACCAGCCCGTACCGTCCAGACTACGGGGCGCGGTGCACGGTACTGTACGCAGGGTACACGGCTCCTCTCTTCTTGTTGTAGATTCAGCTACTTGGTGCAAAAATTGCAAGTAGCACGGGCTATGGTGAGCCCGTAGTGGACTTACCTGGCACAAGAGCGGGGGCAAGTAGCACGGGCTATGGTGAGCCCGTAGTTAACTTACCTGGCACAGGAGCGGGACAAGTAGCACGGGCTATGGTGAGCCCGTAGTTAACTTACCTGGCACAAGAGCGGGACAAGTAGCACGGGCTATGGTGAGCCCGTAGTTAACTTACCGGGCACAGGAGCGGGACAAGTAGCACGGGCTATGGTGAGCCCGTAGTGGACTTACCTGGCACAAGAGCTGGGGCAAGTAGCACGGGCTATGGTGAGCCCGTAGTGGACTTACTTGGCACAAGAGCGGGGGCAAGTAGCACAGGCTATGGTGAGCCCGTAGTGGACTTACCTGTACCTTACCTGAGCGGGGCTAAAACTTGTGAGCTCGTCACAGAGTCCCACTTTATAAACTCTGGCACCAGAGCTCTCACCTCACGGGCTATTCATGTCCGTGCCACCTCTTAGATGGCTCAACCTTCAAGGCATCAAGGTCAACATGGATAGTAGGCCGGCATTAAGAGTTAGACCTCACTCTCCCTTAATCACTGATAGGTAAGTACTGATAAGTAGGTCCCTATAACACAGGGGCCAGCATGTGTCCCCTGGTCGTACCTGTATCACAGAGGCCAGCATGTGTCCCCTGGTCGTACCTGTATCACAGAGGCCAGCATGTGTCCCCCTGGTCGTACCTGTATCACAGAGGCCAGCATGTGTCCCCCTGGTCGTACCTGCATCACAGAGGCCAGCATGTGTCCCCCTGGTCGTCCCTGTATCACAGGGGCCGGCATGTGTCCCCCTGGTCGTCCCTGTATCACAGAGGCCGACATGTGTCCCCTGGTCGTCCCTGTATCACAGATGTGTCCCCCTGGTCGTCCCTGTATCGCAGAGGCCAGCATGTGTCCCCTGGTCGTCCCTGTATCACAGAGGCCGACATGTGTCCCCCTGGTCGTCCCTGTATCACAGAGGCCGGCATGTGTCCCCCTGGTCGTCCCTGTATCACAGAGGCCGGCATGTGTCCCCCTGGTCGTCCCTGTATCACAGAGGCCGGCATGTGTCCCCCTGGTCGTACCTGTATCACAGAGGCCAGCATGTGTCCCCTGGTCGTCCCTGTATCACAGAGGCCGGCATGTGTCCCCTGGTCGCCCCTGTATCACAGAGGCCGGCATGTGTCCCCTGGTCGTCCCTGTATCACAGAGGCCAGCATGTGTCCCCTGGTCGCTCCTGTATCACAGGGGCCGGCATGTGTCCCCTGGTCGCCCCTGTATCACAGAGGCCGGCATGTGTCCCCTGGTCGTCCCTGTATCACAGAGGCCGGCATGTGTCCCCTGGTCGTCCCTGTATCACAGCGGTCGGCATGTGTCCCCTGGTCGCCCTGTATCACAGAGGCCGGCATGTGTCCCCCTGGTCGTCCCTGTATCACAGAGGCCGGCATGTGTCCCCTGGTCGCTCCTGTATCACAGAGGCCGGCATGTGTCCCCCTGGTCGTCCCTGTATCACAGAGGCCGACATGTGTCCCCCTGGTCGTCCCTGTATCACAGAGGCCGGCATGTGTCCCCCTGGTCGTCCCTGTATCACAGAGGCCGGCATGTGTCCCCCTGGTCGTCCCTGTATCACAGAGGCAGGCATGTGTCCCCCTGGTCGTACCTGTATCACAGTGTGTCCCCCTGGTCGTCCCTGTATCACAGGGGCCGACATGTGTCCCCCTGGTCGTCCCTGTATCACAGAGGCCGGCATGTGTCCCCCTGGTCGTCCCTGTATCACAGAGGCCAGCATGTGTCCCCCTGGTCGTCCCTGTATCACAGAGGCCGGCATGTGTCCCCTGGTCGCCCCTGTATCACAGGGGCCGGCATGTGTCCCCTCATGGTCGCCCCTGTATCACAGAGGCCAGCATGTGTCCCCTGGTCGCTCCTGTATCACAGGGGCCGGCATGTGTCCCCTGGTCGCCCCTGTATCACAGAGGTCGGCATGTGTCCCCCTGGTCGTCCCTGTATCACAGAGGTCGGCATGTGTCCCCCTGGTCGTCCCTGTATCACAGAGGCCGGCATGTGTCCCCCTGGTCGTCCCTGTATCACAGAGGCCGGCATGTGTCCCCTGGTCGCCCCCGACAACGCATCAGCCATTATTACGGCGGAAAATTGACTTTAAAAAGCAATTCTCCACAATAATGGAGGAGGTCGGTCATGCTGGGTGGTCGGTCATGTTGCGTTGTCGTTCATGCTGGGTGGCCGGTCATGCTGGGTGGTCGGTCATGCTGGGTGGCCGGTCATGCTGGGTGGTCGGTCATGCTGGGTGGCCGGTCATGTTGCGTTGTCGTTCATGCTGGGTGGCCGGTCATGCTGGTGGTCGGTCATGCTGGGTGGCCGGTCATGCTGGGTGGTCGGTCATGCTGGGTGGTCGGTCATGTTGGGTGGTCGGTCATGTTGCGTGGTCGTTCATGCTGGGTGGCCGGTCATGCTGGGTGGTGGTCGGTCATGCTGGGTGGTCGGTCATGCTGGGTGGCCGGTCATGCTGGGAGGTCGGTCATGCTGGGTGGTCGGTCATGCTGGGTGGTCGGTCATGCTAGGTGGTCGGTCATGCTGGGTGGTCGGTCATGCTGGGTGGTCGGTCATGCTGGGTGGCTGGTCATGCTGGGTGGTCAGTCATGCTGGGTGATCGGTCATGCTGGGTTGTCGGTCATGCTGGGTGGTCGGTCATGCTGGGTGGTCGGTCATGCTGGGTGGTCGGTCATGCTGGGTGGTCGGTCATGCTGGGTGGTCGGTCATGCTGGGTGCCCGGTCATGCTGGGTGACCGGTCACCGGTCATGCTGGGTGGTCGGTCATGCTGGGTGGTCGGTCATGCTGGGTGACCGGTCATGCTGGGTGGTCGGTCATGCTGGGTGGTCGGTCATGCTGGGTGGCCGGTCATGCTGGGTGACCGGTCATGCTGGGTGGTCGGTTGGTTATGCTGGGTGGTCGGTCATGCTGGGTGGTCGGTCATGTTGGGTGGTCGGTCATGCTGGGTGGCCGGTCATGCTGGGTGGCCGGTCATGCTGGGTGGTCGGTCATGCTGGGTGGTCGGTCATGCTGGGTGGTCGCCATGCTGGGTGGCAGGTCAAGCTGGGTGGTCTGTCATGCTGGGTGGCCGGTCATGCTGGGTGGTCGGTCATGCTGGGAGGTCGGTCATGCTTGGTGGTCGGTCATGCTGGGTGGTCGGTCATGCTGGGTGCCCGGTAATGCTGGGTGACCGGTCATGCTGGGTGGTCGGTCATGCTGGGTGGTCGATCATGCTGGGTGCCCGGTCATGCTGGGTGACCGGTCATGCTGGGTGGTCGGTCATGCTGGGTGACCGGTCATGCTGGGTGGTCGGTCATGCTGGGTGGTCATCACTGCTGGGTGGTCGGTCATGCTTGGTGCCCGGTCATGCTGGGTGACCGGTCATGCTGGGTGGCTGGTCATGCTGGGTTGTCGGTCATGCTGGGTGGCCGGTCATGCTGGGTGGTCGGTCATGCTGGGTGGTCGGTCATGCTGGGTGGTCTGTCATGCTGGGTGGCCGGTCATGCTGGGTGGCCTGTCATGCTGGGTGGCCGGTCATGCTGGGTGGTCGGTCATGCTGGGTGGTCGGTCATGCTGGGTGGCCGGTCGTGCTGGGTGGTCGGTCATGCAGGGTGGTCGGTCATGCTGGGTGGTCGGTCATACTGGGTGGCCGGTCATGCTGGGTGGTCGGTCATGCTGGGTGGTTTGTCATGCTGGGTGGTCGGTTATGCTGGGTGGTCGGTCATGCTGGGTGGCCGGTCATGCTGGGTGGCAGGTCAAGCTGGGTGGTCGGTCATGCTGGGTGGCCGGTCATGCTGGGTGGTCGGTCATGCTGGGTGGCCGGTCATGCTGGGTGGCAGGTCAAGCTGGGTGGTCGGTCATGCTGGGTGGCCGGTCATGCTGTGTGGTCGGTCATGCTGGGTGGCCAGTCATGCTGGGTGGTCGGTCATGCTGGGTGGTTGGTCATGCTGGGTGATCGATCATGCTAGGTGGTCGGTCATGCTGGGTGGTCGGTCATGCTGGGAGGTCGGTCATGCTTGGTGGTCGGTCATGCTGGGTGGTCGGTCATGCTGGGTGGTCGGTCATGCTGGGTGGTCTGTCATGCTGGTGGTGGTCATCACTGCTGGGTGGTCGGTCATGCTGGGTGGTCGGTCATGCTGGGTATTCGGTCATGCTGGGTCATGGGGTGGCTGCTGGGTGGTCGGTCATGCTGGGTGGTCGGTCATGCTGAGAAACCGTGACGTCACCTTTCTAACCGTCATGAATGTAAATATATGATTGGATACAGCACCGGTGCTGTAATGCCTTTGGTTAGTTCATAGACGTGACGTTTGTGCCCCAAGGAACCCTTGCAAGTTTCTCCAAGATGCAGCACCAGCATTCTCATTAGGAACATCGCATTTACTTGGCATGTACTTTATCTATCGTCAAGTGGCCCCTCTGCATGTTACTCAGTGTTCCAGCATCAGTCAACATTTGGTCACAAAGTGAGATCGAGGTCATGTGTAAGCGGAAGTGCCTGTGAGTGACTCACTGACCTAGAGTAAATTAAGGAAAGTGCCACAGCCTAGTTGCTTTGTAACTTTACCTCAGATACCTATCAGAGGAAAAATAACTAATCTCCCCGCTGCCACCACTCAGTGTCCTGCCACTCAAAGTTTTTGTGCGCGTGAAGTAGCCACCAGCTGCCCTTACGCACTTCTCGCCCCCTGTGCTGTAACGCTACTGCCTGCCCCACCTACTAGCAGCTCATGTGCTCTGCACGGTTTTGGAATGTGCCAAATGCATGTGGATCTGCAAAAGATACCCCTTGTGGTAATTGTTCAAGTGCAGCACATCTTCAATGAGTTCTCTGCCATGCCAGGTATAAAGACTTATCAAGAGCGCCCACCATCCTATTGTGTTACTATGCCAGATCATACTGGGGACGAGAGTAAGACCAGCTGTTAGACCTCCTACGAAGCTGATTAAACGTGTGATGGTTGAGTGAATGTTGAGTGCCAGCTTTACTGTATGTATATAATTTTTTTTATTTATTATTGTCTTTCGATGTGTTGATATGAGTGGTCAGCCAGAATTTGTAATGTTCTCAGCGTCTGCAATGGGCATAGGTGGAAACCAAGACAAAGACGATGCGTAGCAGTTTAGAATTTGCAAGAGTGTCGCACTGGCTGACTCCTTCAGTGAATTTGGGATCATAAATTTCAACTGAATCTCTGGTAGGACCTCTTCTCTAATTCACTCCAAGCACTGGGTGAGGATAAGAATGTAGGCATTGTTATCTGTGTTGTTTTTTATATACCTATACCCCCCTCCCCCGAGTCTAACTGGGAGTGTTGCTTGGTACCATTGCTCATCTTTCAGGGAGAGGCTCAACACTTTCCCGGCTACTTTTTTAGGAGTTTATCATTGCTAATATTAGGCTATGGAAAGAGAGATCACAACTTAGGAAATAGGTAAGTTTGGGGAATGCCAGGCACCTTGGGATGAGGTACAAAGCATCCAAAATACCTATTCTCTCTACCATCCTTTCAGGTCGTTCATCTTTTCTTCAAGGATTACCTCAATGGCGCTTGAGCCCAGAGGTGCCCCTAACAGCACACTGTTGGTGGGAGCGATCACTGGGGCTCCTGGCAAGATGGTTCGTACTGCATCTATGATTGGTTGGCTGGATGAGAGGATTTCGCACTTTGATGTATTCAGGGTGAGTCCTAACTCCTCTTCCTTCGATTTTACCAGCTGTAAATCCCCCTAGAAGGGACTCCTGTGTCCCTGCCAGGATGCCATCGTCCAGGAACCAGATGTTGAATTCGCTGGTCAACATGCTTGTGATCTCTTTAGCTGCCATGCAGAAAAGGAAAGGGGCAAGTAGGTCTCCCTGCTGGACACCTTCAAAAAAAACTTCATGTTCCCCAAACAACAGTGTCGATTCCTTACCGTAAGCAGCTTAAACGAAGGGGAGTAGACTAGGAAAGTTTGTTTGGACATCTTCCAGTACCCCATCCTTTTTATTACCTGGAAGAAAACATTTTTAAAAGTGTAGTTTAATTAATGCCATATTTTCCGGAGGTGCTTAATATAGGCTGGTGCTGCATGAACTGCTGCTTCACAGCCATGGGGGACACCCAAGCATCGTTGATGGGGTCGAAGCATCGTTGCAGCTTCCGTGAATGTTTCTGACAGCTGCCCCTAGCAACAAGGCACCGAATTGTCTTACCCACGGCAATGGATCTGACTCCACCAACCTTCTTCTTAAGGGTACACAGGGCACATGCTTAGAAGAACAAGGGTTTAATTGTATTGGGATCAGTCCCGAGAGGCAGTCGTTGACAAACTTCGTGACCTCTGAGAGTAGTGTCTTGGCAACTTCGCCGAGAACTTGGTTTGTCATCTCCTTGAGGTGCTGAGGTCTTACTCCAGTATAGCTTCCGGCTTAGCCTGGCGGGAATGACTTGATGGCTTTGTATACCTCTGACGCTTGGAGAAATAGAGGACCCATGTCTGGGACATTTATGTCCCGAGCAGTGGGTTCCCCACGGTACTCTGGGAGGGTGCTTCTCTCTCAGTGAGTCGCCAGTTGCAGTATTTCTAGGTGTGATTGTTTCTTCACTGGTAAGTAACCTTATTGCCCCTACTGTGTTGGCCTCTTCAATTTTCTTGGTCATGGGTGTCTAGTTTCAAACTGTCATTGGAAATCTTCGGTCTGCCACGGCGGGTTTGGTGTTTGCAGAGGGATGGGGGATCAAGGTGAAGAAAGAAAGAGAAGGATGGGCGGACTGCATTTTTTGGACTGTCGGAAAGCCTTGGACACAGTATCCCATAAAAGACAGGAGTAACCCAGGAGTAACTGGTAGGGCGCTCCAGTGGATAAGGGAGTAACTAAGCAATAGAAAGAAGAGAGTTACAGTGAGGGGTGAGACCTCAGATTGGCGTGAAGTCACCACTGGAGTCCCACAGGGCTCTGTACTCGGACCTATCCTGTTTCTGATATACGTAAATGAGCTTCCGGAAAGTATAGACTCATTCCACTCAATATTTGCTGATGACGCCAAAATTATGCAAAGGATTAAAACAGAGGAGGACAGCTTGAGGCTTCAAGAAGACCTGGACAAGCTGCAGGAATGGTCGAACAAATGGTTGTTAGAGTTAAACCCAAGCAAATGAAATCTAATGAAGACATGTGTAGGGCGCAGGAGACCAGATACAAGGTATCATTTGGGAGATGAAATCCTGCAAGAGTCAGAGAGAGAGAAAGACCTGGGGGTTGATATCACGCCAGACCTGTCCCCTGAAACTCATGTTAGGAGAATAACATCAGTGGCGTATGCCAGGTTAGCTAACATACAAACGGCCTTTAGAAACTTGTGTAAGGAATCTTTCAGAACAATATATACCACATATGTCAGACCAATCCTGGAGTATGCGGCTCAAGCATGGAGTCCATATCTAGTCAAGCATAAGACTAAACTGGAAAAGGTTCAAAGGTTTGCCAGCAGACTAGTACCAGAACTGAGGGGTATGAGCTAGGAGGAAAGACTACGTGAATTTAACCTCACGTCACTGGGAGACAGAAGAGTTAGAGAGGACATGATTACCACATACAAGACTCTCAGAGGAATTGATATGGTAGATAAAGACAGACTTTTTAACACAAAGGGCACATGCACTAGGGGACACAGGTGGAAATTGAGTGCCCAAATGAGCCAAGAGACGTTAGAAAGATTTTTTTCAGTGTCAGAGTAGTAGACAAATGGAATGCATAAGGAAGTGATGTGGTTGAGGCTGACTCCATACACAGCTTTAAGTGTAGATATGATAGAGCCCAATAGGCTCAGGAACCTGTACACCGGTTGATTGATGGTTGAGAGGTGGGACCAAAGAGCTAGAGCTCAATCCTCGCAAGCACAATTAGTTAAGTACACTCTATCTTTCTCTCTCTCTCTCTCTCTCTCTCTCTCTCTCTCTCTCTCTCTCTCTCTCTCTCTCTCTCTCTCTCTCTCTCTCTCTCTCTCTCTCTCTCTGCCCCCCCCTCTCTGTACCCCCCCTGCCTAACCCTATCAAAACATATCAGGGAAAGGGACAAGATGGCAAGAGGATGCAGTAAAGACACAGGGAATAGTCAAAGTGATCAAATGCAGAAAATGTTAGACCAAGTTTTGGAGGAATTCAGGAAGGAGATACATGAAATGAGGATTACAATTAGCAACCTGTAAAGTGAACTGACATCAGCAAGGGAGGAGATCAAATCCCTCATAGAGAAAAATATGGAGGCCGAGCATTAGATTATCATCCAAAGGGAAGGTGGGAATGTTGCATTGGAAGGAAATGCCTCTGTACCTGAAACATTTGGGGAAAGACTCAGAAAGAGCTCAGAAGCAATGGACACAGTGAGGAAGGTAGCCATGCAAGCAGCTACCTCACAAGAAGAAGCAAGGTGCACCAGTCAGCTGCTAGAAAGAAAAAGATCAGTGGTAGTTGTAGGCATCAAAGAACAGGAAGGATCCAATAGGCAGAAATGGAATAGCAAGGACAGAGAGGCAGTACATGGGATACTGAAGGGGTTACAGATGGAAGGGGCTGAAAAAAAACATTGAGAAGGTTTTCAGGTTGGGCTGGTACAACAAGGAGAGGAACCGACTGGTAAAGATGGTGATTACATATGAGACCACAAAGGAGGTTATTCTAGAAAGAAAGGGTCATCTGCAGTATGTGGAGGGATACAAAAATGTATTCCTGCAGAGGAACAGGACGAAGGACGAGAGAGCCACAGCAGCAGAGGCAAGGAGGAAGCCGCTGGGAGAGAGGAGTAAACCAAAAAATCGCAGCCCCCAATACAATAGTTCCAGAGACAAGAGGGGAACCCACAACCAGCATCCCAGCAACACTAGAAGGGAGGTTAAAACCCCAACCCCACTCTGCATAGAAACCTTCCCTTCCCCTCAACCTACTTTCCCCCACCCAAATGCTCACCCAACCCTCCCTCCCCCCCACCTCATTCTGATCCTGTCACCCCTCTCCCATTCCCATATGTCCCCCCTCCTGCCTTTCCCCCCCTGTCCCACCTCCCCCTTCATCCCATACTCTCCCTATCCCTCTTCGCCTCTCACCCCGTATCCTTCATGTCCCCTCTATCTCCTTACCCCTCACCTTACCTATCCCCATTTCACTGAACCCCCACCACCCCAAAATCCTCAGAGACCCTGCAAACCACCTCAGAGATCTTCTCACCCAGGGAACAGCTTTCCCCACCAGAAGAACGCTCACTAAGAAGGGGGCAAGAAAATGAACAGAAGAAAGTGAGCTTCAAGGCAATGTACACTAACACACATGGGATTACAAATAAAACAAGTGAACTCGGAGAATGGGCACCAGAAGAAAACCCAGACATTATAGCACTCACAGAAACAAAGCTAACGAAAACCATAACATATGCAGTGTTTCTACAGGACTACTATGTAGTGAGGAAAGAGAGAGAAGGGAGAGGAAGAGGTGGTGTAGCTTTGCTGATAAGAAAAGGTTGGAGCTTTGAAGAGATGGTAAATCTGAACCGTGAAGGTTTCAGGGACTACATAGCAGGCACCATAGCAACTGGAGGAGAGAAAATTTTAGTAGTAGTCATATATAACCCTTCCCCCCACCGAACGACAAAAGATCCAGAGAGGAATATGATAGAAACAACATGGCCACCAGCAATTTAATACAGAGAGCAGCTTCTGTGGCTAGCAGGAACGGATCCAGACTACTAATCATAGGAGACTTCAACCATGGAAAGATAGATTGGGGGAACAGAAACCCAAATGGAGGACCAGACATATGGAGAGCTAAGCTGCTGGACGTGGCAACAAGAAACTTTCTAAGTTATCTTCTTGAGGTTATCTTAAGATGATTTCGGGGCTTTTAGTGTCCCCACAGCCTGGTCCTCGACCAGGCCTC